CTGTGCACCCCAGTGCTTCCTCCAGTACTTGTCATGCTGGGTCCAAGTGACCCATGTGAGCTGTCCCCTCACCAGGCTGGGAGGCTTTGGAATGTGGGCTAGGGCGTGCTTTCCAAGAGACTGCCCGGTGCCAGCTCAGGCTTGTAATACCGCAATCAACGGTGGGAGAAAAGCAGCCCAGGGGGCTAGAGAGCCTTCCCAAAGGGACAGTGTCGGGGTGAGTGAGGGCTCTGAGTTCCACCCTTCTCGGGGACACCTGCACCGATAAAAGGGCTTACTTGACACTTGATGAGAAGGAGCTGGAGGTGGCGGTGGTGTTCCTAGCGTCAGTGGCTGGTGCAAAGGAAGAAGAGTGGGGAAAGAAGCGGAATAAGGAAGCCGCGATCTTACCCTATATGGAACTCCCTGGAACTCTCTAGATTCCTCACCAGGGACTGCAGAAGTGAGGGAGGGAGGAAAGGAGTAGGAAGAGGAGATGCTGGAAGAGCAGCCTCTCACCAGCTGGGAAACCAGAGACAAGCGGCCACTTTGTTCTGCCGAGGGTCTGTGTCCTCAAGTATTTATCAAGCACCTGTTATGTGCTGGGCATTGCTCTAGGAAAATAGCATGGTGCTCCCATGTTTTGGGGGTGGGAGGGATAGCTATATATGGTTAGGCAGGTGATATGTGCTAATAAAAAATAAAGCAGCTCTGGAGGCTGAGGCAGGAGGACTGCAAGTTCAAAGCCAGCCTCAGCCACTTAGTAAGTAACTCAGTGAGACCCTATCTCTAAATAAAATACACACACACACACACACACACAAAAGGGTGGGGGTGATGGGGATTTGGCTCAGTGGTTGAGTGACCCTGGATTCACTCCCCAGTACCAAAAACTAAAATAAAATAAAGCTGAACTCAGTGGTGCACACCTGTAATTTCATTGACTTGGGAGGCTGAGATAGAAAGATAAAAAGTTCAAGGTCAGCCTCAGCAACTTAATTGAGGCCCTAAGCAACTTCGTGAGACCCCCATATCAAAATTAAAAATAAAGAAGGCTGGGGATGTGGTAAAGTACCCCTGGTTCAATCCCCAGTATCAAAAAATAAAACATAAAAAATTTTAAAAGTAAAGTTGAATGCTTGCCTAGCATCTACAAGGCCCTGGATTCCATCCCCAGCACCAGGGGGGAAAAATGAAATTAATAAAAATTTTAAAATCTAAATAAATAAATAAATATGTGTACTGGAAATCGAACCCAGGGGCACTTAACCACTGAGCCATATCCCCAGCCCAACTCAGGTCCCAGAGTGTCTCTGAGTTGCTTAGGACCTCACTAAGTTGCTGAGGCTGGCTTTGAACTTGTGATCCTCCTGCCTCAGCTTCCTGAGCTTCTGGGATTACATGTGTGCACCACTGTGCTTGGCTAAAAAGTTTTTTTTTTT